GACGAAATGATCGCTTTTTTAGTAAGTTTACTTCATTTTCTCATGCATAGGCTAAGATTTTTTTTATAATGAGAATAAACTTTTATTTATGTATTTAATATGAAATGTTAAATAAAATAAGACTGTTATTTGTGGTCATGTAAGTTTATATACTTAATAGAAAAATAGCTCTGGAATTTGTCAAAAGAGTGTTGTGTTATGCTTCATTTTAAGGTATCTAAATATATACTCATTAGAAATTTTTAATTTTGTTTTTAAATGGTTTATTCTTTTTCATTACTTTAGATAAATATATACTGACCGACAAAACTTCATTTTTATTAACAATGTCGTGCATTATAGTCTGCATTCTTTGTACATTTAAAATAATTGATGCTAATAAATGTTGTGTTATAGTTGTTAAAAGTTTGCATATATGTTTGCATGTTTATTATGATCAAAGTTAAAATTTTTTTGATAAATACGTGTATGTGGTAATATATGTTATATAGTTGTTTTATAAATGTGTTTTTATAATAGTATGAAATGTATTATATCTAATTTCTGCAAGATTGTTAAATGGGGTGTTTTTATATGCTAAGTAACATTAAAAAAATATATTGTTTTATAATTAGTATATATGTTTATAAAAATGATTTCAAAGTGAAGTGACTTGGCAAATGTGTAGAGCAAGATTTATCAACCTTACCAGTCAAGCGATGTTACTGCTTTAGGTCTAAGTGTTGCCTAGCCTTTAATATAACTATTGTGAAAACGCATTGCTTTATCTTTAATAATTTTTTGCGTAATGTTGTTACCTTTGGTTTATCTTTACGTTGGTGTCAGCTGTTAAAAATGATTAATAAGTAGTTTCGTTATTAGAACTCACTGCTTTTATTTATTTACTGAAATTCATTTCGCTATAAATACAATTTGTTTATCATAAAAAAATAATATTTAGCAACTACTACTTAGGTAATACCACAGCTTATCTCTATCAGGTACATTAATTTTCAATTCACATATGATGTTTTTCTTTGTTACATTTTTAACTTCAGATTTATGGTGTACTTATTTGCTATAGGAGAACAAATCATTTTGAATTTTTAAAAACATCTACTCCAATTAACATTTAAAGTTCATTGTTGCATATATCATTTTTAAGTAGCTTCTAGGCTTTTGTGATGCTTTTCTTATTCAAGTGGTTTTATAAGCAAGGTCTACATGCAAATTTGAGATAAAAAGTTTTTCAGCTTTCAAGTAGTATCGATGTTGTTCTCTGTTTAATTTAATTTGTTTAAATAGAGCAGTTTTAGTAAATAAATGTTTGTTTGTTGTTGGTTTTTTATTTAATTGTTTCCAGATTCTAGAACTAGGCAACTTAGCAAAGCAAGATTTATTTTATTTTTTAGTGCAATTGGAAAGAGCTAAAGTGCTTTTTAGTCACTTCTAATCATTTGTTTCTTTTTTTAAATAGAAGGGTTAATAATAAAAATATTTAGACAGTCGAACTGTTACTGATTTGAGTAAGTTTAATGTTTTGTTTAATTTTATATTTTAATGATACTGTGCATTGTCATTTTCTTTTTTTTATATTTATGTATTTAACCTGGAAAACTGACTAATTTTTGACAGGTTAGTTTATATACATAAATGTGCCTATATATCAAAATATTATATATTTCTCTGAATCTATATGAATATTATCTCAAAGAAAAAATTAAGAATAGAAAAAATTTGAATATATATACACATATATATATATATATATATATATATATATATATATATATATATATATATATATATATATATATATATATATATATATATATATATATATATATATATATTACTTTAGACTGACATTGCTTATTATATTATATTATGATATGATTCTGCATTTATTATTTTTGTGCATTAAGATTGTGCCTGAAGGCTTTCTTATTTTAGCAAAGAATTTAGAACACAATGCAAATAACTTTGCATTGTGTTCTAAATTTTTTTGCTAAATTAAAATAATGTCAATAAATTTCTTTTTATATTTTTCAGTTGTAAAAATAAAAAACGTTCATTTATTCCGTTGTAACATAATCACTGGTAATATATATTTAATGATAACAGATGTATAAAATTAGGCTCGAAGAAGTTATTAGTGTAAATGGTTATAGGTGACTTGAAATTGTTGTCATATGAAAGAAATAGATCCAGGCGTAATAAAATTAATTGTTGAAATATAAGAAATTTTGCTTGATGAATCGAAAACTTTCTTGACAGAAATCAGTGTCAAGCGGTGTTGATGTCTATTATTTGACTTTACATTAGACACTTTAAAATAAAGCAAAGTATGAATTTTACTATTTATAGTAACAAATACTAACAGCTTCAATTTTAAATGATTTTTTTTTTTTTTTTTGTTATCTTAAACATAATTGTGTCATTTTTTTTTAGTTGTCTTTGTCATCACTTGATTATTTTGCTTACTGTTGAAACATGGTTTTAATTTTGTAAATTTAATATGATGTAAAATTTACAATACTAATCATTTGTCAACAGTTAAAGAGAAGCTGGAACTTAATCAAGAAATGCTGGAAATTAATTTTTAGTCAAGGTAAAAATAATTTTTTTTATTGGAAGCATAATAAAACCAGTTACTGTTATTTATTGCATGACTTTTTCACTTTTTCTAACATGCTGTTTTTAAAACACTTCCTATCTCTTAGATGAGACTTAAATAATATTAGTATTGAGAATTTATTAAACTCTGTAATTACTAAGCTCTTGCGTATTTTTTAATACTGCGATTGATAATTTACTATTTAAAGATATAATTCTTTAAATTGTCCCTTGGTTGTTCAAATATTGTAATAAATAAAATCTTTTTAGTCTCAAGTATTTTCTCTTAGGGATCGTCTATATATTACGTAACGCGAAATTAAACATATAGACAAAAGAAATATCTCAAAACCGTGTTTCTCTCATGGTCAACTATATCTTGCATTTTCAAGAACTATAGCATTTAATAGTTTGCTTTTAAAAATTGATAAACATCTTATTCAAAGTATAGTAGGTTAAAAAATGTAACAAATATTGTTATATTTTTTAATGTTCTTAATTTATAGTCTTTAAAGTTTCATTTCGAAAATTTATTGTTAAAGGTTGTGAGCACATTTTGTATGAGTAACTTTATCATTATTTTTTTTTTTTTTTTTTTATTGTTTTTAGTAAATATCTATCATTCAATAGTTGTAAAATGTGTTTATACGTGTTACATAAAATCATATTTGTTTATAGTTGTATATATGTTTAAATTATAAAAGCCAAAACAACAATTTATATCTTAGTTTGACTTTTTTTTTAGTATTGCTTAGGTACTTTTAGTATTGCTTTTGTACTTCGAAACAGGTTTTATAGTTACATTTTCGATAAATCTTTTGCAATTTCAAAATAGGTTACTATAAATGGGTAAATCGACTTTTGGTAATTGTGTGGTGTTTTTTTTTTTTTTTTCTTTGTAATTATGATATCATAATTTCATTACTTTTTCATTTTAGAATTACGTTATGACGCATTTATAAGATTTATAAAATAAAATAACCTGATTTCTTTTTATTGTAAATTTTTGTTAGTTAAAAAGATATAAATATATGCTATTAGCTAATTTTATATTTTATCTATTTTATGCTTAATAATTTGTTGTACATATTTTAAGGGGATCTTTGTAAATGGGGGGTCGTAACTAAAAACCTTTAAAAACATGGAGAATATTGTAGTTTTGCGCATTTAATATCGAGTTACTTAAGTTTTTTTTTTATGTGTTTAACTAATTAGTTAGCTTAGCCTGTATTTGCAACGCTTTTGAGGAAAGAAAGAAAACGTTCTTATATATGTAGATCATTGTTTTACATTTTTTTTATTTTATTCACCTGGCCACCATTAAAGCAAAAAGAGGGAAGGAACCTCTTTATTAGAGTCAAAATATTTAGGAAAATTAAATTTCGAGTTACAATAGGAATTTTTAGTAAATGGTGGCAAATTACCGTTTACTTAAAATTAATGAAATAAAGAGGCCAAACAAATAATAAAGAAATGGTCTGTGTTGAATAGACTTAACAAGACTCGGGTCGGGTCAGCTTGGTTTACAAATTTTTATGTCTACTTATCTCTTATAATTTTTATTTTAGGTTTGTCTTATGATGCATTTATGCATTAAAAAATTTGTTATACCCATGTTTGATCGTAAATTTAATTTTTTTTGTTTGAAAGGTATTTGTACTCAGATGCGTAGTTATTTATAATAAACTTTGTTATTTTTTATAAATTTATTTAAATGTGTGCATTTAACATTTTTAAGTTAACACTTTTCTTTTCTAAAGAATAATTATTCAAGGGGATACCAAAAACTTGACTGTAAAATATAAGTTAACTTCATTTTAATCTTAATGGTTCGTATTATAAAAATTATTACAAGGATTCAGTTGACACTCTCGTCAATTTTAAAGCATGACCAAGTGTTATTATTTTGTGTCAGTAACTAAAAACGTATTGTGTTAAACTTAGGAAGGTCGATGAAAATGGTTCTGCTTTTCATTGTTATGACCTATGCCATTTGTAAATTACTTAAATAATGTTAAGTAGTAGTTGGTAAATTATTTTACCTCCTCATACTTTTTATGTTAATTTTACAGATGGATTAATTTTTTCAAGCTGAAGGCGATTTTCTAAAAGGGTATTAGTTAAGGTTTTGCAACATTTAATTTTGTAAAACAGCCACTATAAATTAATTATGTAGCAGACCGACCAAAACCCGTATTACGGGTTGCTTTTTGCTAGTATGTATGATAACTTAAAAGATCCGGGTTTCTAAATGAATTCTCAAAGAGAATTGGTCGTGACTAGAAAATTCTAGGGCGCCCTTTATTAATAAGTGAAAATGATCTCGAATTAATTGACTATACCAATAAAAAGGTTCAAATGAAAGCTTATGAAATGTTTAAAAATTTTTTAAAAAAAAACATTACTTTTAAGGATATCCGTAATACTCTGTTGGACATCGAAAAGTCGGATTTGGTTAAAGAAATTGATCGTCTCGCAAGTAGATTTATAAATTTGTTATACTTAGTTTGATATCGATTTTTTTAAATTTTTTTTTAAGGCACTTTGCAAATCGTATTTAGAAAAATTAACATTGCAACTTTGGATAAATGTAATCATAAAAAAAATTGTTTACTTATTCTTTCTTTTAAACATATGTATTTAATGCTTATTATTTTTTATAAAAAATTAAAATTTTTTTGAATATTAAAATCACAATTTAGAAACATCAGAAAAAGACAACTCGAACTTAACTGGAGAGTTAGTAAGAGACAATGCTCTGTTATGTGTAAAGTTAGAAAGAGACAATGCAGTTCATAAGCGGCCAATCATGGAAATTCGAGAGGAAATAAAAAATTTTTTTAAAATAAGAATGGACGCAAATATAAGTTTTAATGCAAATGATAAAACAATAGATATAGGAGTTGCTGTTTTGCAAAATGTAATAAATATAATTACAAAAGGACCAAGTTTCAAAACAGATGAAGACTTTTTGAAAATGTTAAGAAGTTCATATGAAACTATAGGAGATATTTACACCTCTAACTTCAAATCAAAATTTCAGGGAAATAATTACGGAAACAAAACCCAAGAAAAATATTGTATAGCAATCGATCCATACGAAAAATGTTTCGAGTATAATCGTTACTTGTGTATTCATTTTGGTTATAACTATGAAAACATTTTAAATAAATTACTAGAAAAACTAGATAAACCTGCTAATTATGGCTATAATGTCTCAGTGAGAGACGCTTCAAAGTATGAAAGGTATAATAACCAGAATAAATCTGGAAATTTATATGAAAAAGGAAAAAGTTGTCTGCAAGATAAAGATTTTGGAAATGCTTTTTTTTTTTGGAAAAGAAATAAGTCAGCCTTGTTGTTTAGATACTCAAGGTAGTTCATATATACAAGTTGCAATGATATTACAATATTACCACGATAAAACAAAGCAAACTTTTTACAAATCAATAGAGTATTACAATTATGCTATTGCTATTTTTTCAAACAGAGATGAAATTAATTGCGCTGGTGACCTAATAGACTGTTTCTTTCATTTATACAGATTACAATCTAGCCCAGAAACTTTCAAGTTTGATTCAAGTTGGGCTAATGAAAACAAGTTTAAAGAAATATTTGATTTAAAAGAACAATATATAAATGATAAAGCTGATCGTCTTTATATACAAGCTAAATTATATGCGTGTAAACGGTTCTCTTGGATGAATGACAAAAAAGAAAATCTAGATCCTGAAAAAGTTTTAGAGTATTGCAGAAGAGCATTACAAGCTAGTGATAAATCCGTTACTATCAAAACAAAAATAAATTTTCTCATGGCGTACACGTACAGCTCTCTGATGGTCGAGAAAGACTTAAACTGCTATCATAATGCCATTGCTTGTTGCCAGGATGCACTTAAGACATACTTAAACAACAGTAACCAAGAGTATGCAGAACGTGTTGTTACTAAGTCTATAACGTTAGCATACTTACCTGAAACTAAAGGATTTCAAAATATTTCTACAGATGACACTAAGCCTCTGAGAGATCTTTTAGAAGAGATTTACAATTCAAACAACTATAAAATTAATAGTTTTAAAGAAATGTGGAAATCATACAACTGCCTAAACATCCAAGATAATCATATATGTGACTACTTTTTATTAGAAAGGCAAAGTAGTCTATTTAGAGATATGATAAACGACAAAAGTATAGCAAACAGCAAAGAGTACAAAAATAGTATTGAGGAAGAAAAGGAAATTTTTAATACAACAAAAACGAGGCTTACGCATATTGAGAAGATTCCGCATTTGTATTGGTATTATTACGCGTTTCATAAAACATTGAGCGACTGTTATCAAACTGCCGTTTTAGTGAAAAGTGAAAAGGTTGTTTTAAACAAAAGTACTGTAAGCAGTATGGTAGCATCGCTTATACTTGGGATTGTTCCTTTTATCCCTAAACTTGTAGAGGAAAGCATAACCAAAGTTTTGGAATTTTTGGAGTCCGTAGAAATGATTCAGGCTGCAATTAATACAACTATACTTGCCGTTAGCCAAAATCAGTTCGATAATATGGTTATGGATATTATTGTAAGCATAATTTTTGAAAATCAAGATTTAATTTTAGCAAAAAAATCTCAAAAAAAAGTCGCAATGATGTGGTACAATGAATTCATCACCTTTTGTAAAAAAGTTTCCAATAAATTTGATAAAAAAATATACGGTAATGAATATCCAGAAGACGCAATTCATAAAGAAGTTTGGGAAATGATGTCACTGATGCTGCTCATGATGTGACTGATGCAGTTGTTTTGTTTGAATCAAATGAACCAGAAAAAAAGAAGTGTTGTTGCTGTTGTTGTTGCTGTAAACACTGTTATTGTTGTACGCTGATGTAAACAATGTTTTGGTTTGAAAAAAGAAAGTACTCTAATGTAAACTCTGGTTGTGACTGTTTATACTAATAATTTTACACTATGACATTAATAGTTAATAGTAATGATTTCAATTTAATTGTTTAGTTAATAAGTGTTTTGCTGATGAAATTATGGTTTCGCTTTATAGGCATAGTTCATTATAATTATTTATAAGGTTTTACTAAATTTGCTTTTATTGAAATTTTTAGTTTATCAATTAATACACTCTAAGAAAAAATCCGTTATATACAACGAATTGTATCTGTCGCTATTGCACTAACGGGAAATCTGTTAAGTTAACGAATTAAAATTTTAACGAATTGAAGTCCGTTAGTAATAGTCCGTTGAATTTACGGATTTATTTCGTTAGCGCAACGATTAATCCGTTAAAATTAAGGAGTTATTACACTAGGCAGAAATTTTTCCGCGGTTGTTATTTTTATGAAATAAATGTGTTAATAAGTTATTTTAGTGATAATTTCGTTAAAATCACTACAATCTAAAATTAGAGACGCCAGAATTGTGACTTCATAACCAAATAATCCTTATATTTGTTGATGTTTGCATTTTTATTTAATTGCATTATTTTATTTCGATATTCTACATTAAAACGTTTTAACCAAAAATTGAAAACTAATTAAATATTTATGATATTTAATCCAATATACTTTAATTTACAATAAAAATACATAAAAAAAATCTAGTACTTTATGGCTATAATGTCTCAGTGAGAGACGCTTCAAAGTATGAAAGGTATAATAACCAGTATAAATCTGGAAATTTATATGAAAAAGGAAAAAGTTGTATGCAAGATAAAGATTTTGAATATGCCATTTTTTTTTTTTTTTTTGAAAAAGAAATAAGTCAGCCTTGTTGTTTAGATACTTAAGGTGGTTCATATATACAAGTTGCAATGATATTACAATATTACTAGTACTCAAGCTAGTACATTTATATAAAAATCACACATATATATAATAGATGTTTAAAATAAACCAATGCCAAGATAGTTTTTGGTCGCTAGTTTTGGTTTGATTGGTTTAAATAGGTTTTGGTTTTGAATACTGTTGTTACTCGTACACAGGTTCGCACTTTAAATCGGACACCATGCTGTCAACTCCTTAAAGATTAATATAAAATAAAACAGGGAAAATATGGAAACTTAATAATATACCTAGTATAGAACCAAAATAAAATGTTATTGATAGCACTGTAGAAAATGTTTTTGGTAATTCATTATATCCAAATTTCTATTCTAAATTTGGTTATTTTAATTATCTCTGATATCGTTTTTTTAAAGATAAAATTAAATGGAACAAGTAAATTATATCTTGATTAAAATGTAAATTAAAAAAAAAGTATAAGATTACCTTGATATTATCTGATAGCTGAAAGACTCTATACATTTCACATACATCAATACCTATCAGGAGCAAAAAATAAAGTCTCAAACCTTTTAAAAACTATGATAAATCAAGACAAGATTAAATATGCAGACCAAAAAAAACGCAAGTAACTATATAAAAAAATTAGTTTTACAACTTTTTTAAACTTATAGTGTCATACGACTTGTCACATGTTTAAAATAGCTAATTCTAAAATAATAGAGAATATAGAATATAGTAGAATAATAGTTAAAAAAGTATGATATAAACTTAGTCTTAACTAAACTAAAAAAATATGCATGCCAAAAGAAATGCAAGTTAAAATACATTTTTTTTTAATTTACTAATTCAAACTTACAGTGGGATACCACATGCCACGTGTCTAAAATAGTAAACTTTAAAATATTATAAACACGCCAGATTTAAACTTATTATTATTATTATTATTATTATTATTATTATTATTATTATTAATAATAGTTGAAACTTGACTAAATAAATATGCACGCCAATAGAAATGCAAGTTACAATATAAATTTTACATCCAATTTAAACTTATAGTATGACAAGTGTCTAAAATACCAAATTCTGAAATAATATAAACAAGCCATACACAAACTTAGTGGAAATCTAATTATATAAACATGAACGTCAAAAGAAATGGAAGTTAAAATATATATATTTTTTAAATATACTAATTCAAACTTACAGTGGGATACCACATGCTACGTGTCTAAAACAGTAAATTCTTAAATAATACAAACTCATCAGATATAAACTTAGACTAAACTCAACTAAATAAATATGTAAGTTACAATATAAATTCTACAACCAATTTAAACCTACAATGTGACACTAAATGCCATGCTTCTAAAACAGCAAATTCTAAGATAGTATAAATAAATAAATATGAATGTTAAAAGAAAAAGAAGTTCCAATATAAATTTTTTTAATTTTACGACTAGTTTTAACTTACACTGTAAGTTTTAGAATTAGAATTAGAATTTTAGAAATAAGTATTTTAGAATTTTTTGTTTTAGACACATGGCATATGTTATCCCACTGTAAATTACAGTGGGAAACAAATGCCATGTGTCTAAAACAAAAAATTCTAAAATAATATAAACACACCAGTATAATCTTAGTTTATGATATTAGATGCCACATGTTCAATTTGGAAATTAATAAAAATTGCAATTTATAAAAGCATATTAATTAGCCATGTAAACTTAGCTGTAATTAACCTAAATAAATATACCTATCAAAGATGTTAACATTTTTAATTTTACAACAGATTTAAACTAATATGGTATGTTACTACATGTCATATGACTAAAATATAAAGTTAAACAAAACTTTAAATAATCCATTAAGTCTATATTATAGAAATAATTGTTCAACTAATCCTGTACTACTAGCAAAGAATAAGTTGAACTTTTATTTCTATAATATAGATTATATGGATTGCATACATTCTTGCATAATTTTCTAGATTTAGACATGTAGTAACTTACCATATGTTATATGTATTAACTTACCATATATGTTATTATATATTATTTAGTAATACTAATGGCTTTTAATTAATAAAATAAAATATTTAAAAATTAAAAAATTAAATAAACCTTATTGTTAAATTTTCTGTATAAAGAGTTATATAGAAAATTTAAAATAAGTTAAATAACCTTCGAAATAACATAGCGCAATTTAATTTATATTTATCCATTTGCTTTGTCTACTAAATGTAAACCTTATCAAAAATAGCATATTACATTTACTGCAACCAACTTTTATCTACGATGTAAATGTAAATGTGAGAAAAACGCATTCAAAACTTTATCATTTTCAATATAAAAAGATATAATATACTGAAAATTTTTTTTTTGAGCGATTAGAATATTTAATCCGTTGAATTAACGAAGTTTCAAAGAATCCGTTAACAGTTAATTTTACTCTGTTAATTTTCTGGTTTTTGGTAACGAATTAATCCATTAATTTGATTAAAAAGCGCAATCCGTTACATTTTATAACGGACTGTTTTTAGAGTGTATTGAAAATAAATAATACACAATAATGGGATGTTAACAAAAAATTTAAATTATTTAAAACAATGCCTATAGGGTATTAAATAAAAAGTTAAACTATACACAACAATACATAGTAGGGTAATGCTTTTTTTATTTAAACCTTTTCCATAGCATGAATTAATGTACTCTAAAAACAGTTTAATAAAAAATAATTAAATATTTAAAAGTTTTATTAGGTCAAACAAAAAACTTACTTTATTGAATTTATAAAAAATTATAAAAAAAAGTTACCTTGTACGAAAAAAAGTAATTATTAGGGTCACTTTAGTATAATTATACTTTATTACAGAATATTTATATCAATTTTAAATTAGATTAATTATTTAAATAAATAGCTAATGGTTATTATATTACAAATTTAGCTTAACTATCATTGTTGTAGAAAAAACAAAGTACATTTATTTAATTTTCTAATTTAGTTATAAATATATTTTCAGAAATAAATTTATAAATAACAAAAAAAAAGTCCCGCATAAGTGCTGATGGAGCCTCAAAGAGAGAGGCAGAGAACTCTAGCCCACCAGGTTCAAAAGAGTCGAGGGAGTTTCTGATATTAGCTGCTCCATATGGATTATGAACAAAAAACTTTGGTTAATTTAAAGACTATTCCAGAAATTCGGCACAATCTTGGCTACTATTAACATATAGTTGACACACACCCTGCATCACCATCAACAGTTGTTTTACAAATAATAGTAAAAGATTTGAAGCAGCAGTGGAATATGAAATTTAACGTCAGTAACCAGAGCTGGCACAAAGAAACTAAATAAACTTGCATATAAAAAAATGTTTCAAGAAAAAATCAACTTTTCTTTTTTTTCCAAACAAACTTGTATATAAAAAAATGTTTCAAGAAAAACCAAAAACTATAAAAAAATGTTTCAAAAAAAAATCAACAAGAAAAATAACAATTATATTATAACCATCAAATGGTTGATAGAAAGAGCTGCGTATCCACCAGTCAAAAAATTATTGAGCAAAAAATTATTGAGCATTAATAGGCAATTGATAATAAAAATCTGGATCTTGATTATCTAGAGCAATTATATGCAGAACCAAGCTTTCAAAATGATGATGACTCTAATGGTTTTGAGCCATTGTTTGAACCACCCAAAAGGAAACTTAAATCAAAAGAAAGTAATAATACTTCTCAAAATAAAAATTATCACTTTTTTTGTAAACATAATTACTTTGTTTTTAATTAAAGACAATTTCAGTAGCTGTGATGTACGCAGAAGCAGGAACCCCTACCACAAAGGAGCAATGGGGGCAATTGTTTCCCATTAGAATGTTTTGAAATTTTTTATTTTTGTTAGTTAATATATTAAACACAGCAAGTTATTTGAAAAGGGAAATAATATAGTTAGGTTGTCTAATTAAAATTACAACTTTAATATAATTCAAAATTGTGTGATTGCTGGCTTAGAAATCATTATATCTAAAAATACCTCCTTCGCCCCTACCCACCTTACTAGATTGTCTGCATCCCCCAAATCAAAATCAAAATTTTAATTGCTCTCCCTCCTCCCCCTTTGACATGGTCTGGATCCGCCCTTGACTTAAGATCAATCTTCTATTTTTAGAGCTGGTAAATGGTTGCATATCATAACTCTTTTTAAAATTAAAGCAGCTTTGTCAACTGAGACCTTTATTTTAGATTTTGATGGGAAAGCTGTGGCACCATAGTGTTACGGCATTAAGAAAGTGGAACGTATGGTAATTGCCTTTCAGTCAAAGTGACAAATTTTTTGGTACCTATAATTACCTGCACTAACTGATTTTAATTTTATAAATAAATTAAAAGATAAAAACCCACAATTAAAAAAACCATACAATGCCCTGCATAGAACGCGTCATCGTCCACCTACTGTTAAAACTTGGAGAGATGATTATAGACTATTAGCTAAGTTTGTTTCATTAAACTTTTCTTTTTCATTATATATCCATGTTTTGTATGTATTTTTATCTTGAGGTTATGGATTGTCTTCAGGCTTTACTTGGATAAGAATATTTTACCCAAACTGGAGCTACCAACTAAATTGCCATGTTCGCACTCAGCAAGATGAAACAGCAAAGCAATTTATATCTTACTGGGCTAATCCCCAAAGAAAGGCAATAATTGAAAAAAATAGCTAAGTTTATTAGCTGTTCTTGGTCACATCCAAGGTTTTAAATGAGAGAGGAACCCAATTGGGTGAGTCCAAAAAAGGCTACAGCCTGCATTACAGCCCAAAAAGCTCTTGCCAGGCATTTTTTTGTTGTTGAAGTCACATTAAAAAATGTGCATAAAATGAATGAAGTTGCTGTCAGAGGATTTTGAGCTATGGACATCCGAGTTTTCCGGGTTAAGACTGATGATGCTTTTGGGAAAATTTTCTTAACTGAAATTATAATTAAAATGCAATTTGTTCTTCTTTTTAAAAAGGCTTCTCATTGAATTAAAAAAAAAAATTATTATAGCATCACATACATCGTCATACATTCTTCAAGACTTGAGTAGTTAAGACGCGTTTTATTTGGTCGTAAGTTTCGAGTTCTTTTTTTATTTTCTTTAAATTGTTCTCTCGTTTTTTTTTATATATTTTTTTTTATTTACTTTTCTTTTTTTCTTCTTCTATCATATATCTTATATACTTTCAAATTAATATTCATTACCTATTATTCTACTATATTACAATATATTATCGGTTCGAAGTCAATCGCTCCGAATTAACTACATAGAAACTGAATATAATATATAGCTGCTTTTTATTATTTATATTTATATATTTATATAAATAAATATTTTAAACTATCATTATCTCATCGAAGATGCTATTTACGCTTACATTATTTTATATTTAAAAGGTTTTTAACGATTTTTAACTCTATTTATATATATATATATATATATATATATATATATATATATATATATATATATATATATATATATATATATATATATATATATATATATATATATATATATATATATATATATATATATATATATATATATATATATATATATATATATATATATATATATATATATATATATATATATATATATATATATATATATATATAATATATATATATATATATATATATCAATTGTAAAAAGTTCTGTTAACTTAAATAAAATAATGAAAAAAGATTGGTTTAAAAATTTTTGGTCTATGATTTAAAAACAGCATCTATATTTACAAAAGTTAGGGATACAAATAACGTAGCAACTGAGTTTTTTGTCCAAAATACAGGTTTTACCAAAAATAAATTTTTATATTTAGTAAGTGAATTAAAAACAAAAAATATTTAAAACTTTAGAAAGAACAAGCGCTTGTAGTTTATCTATTTTAGTTAAATATAACCAAAATACCGGTCTTGATCAAAATTTAATTCGTTTTTATTTTGGTTTGTGATGCCGGTTGAATGCTCAGAAATGTTGTCATCAGATAAAAGCATCGCCTAGTGTTGATATTTTTGGCAAAAATTTAGGGACAAAATCACAATCACAGAAAGATTGGCAATGAAATCACATAAATATGATCAAAGATTTGTTTGACTTAAAAGAGGAACAGCTAACAATTCTAACCGATGGTACTTACTAATTCTGTGAAAAAAGTTCAATTAGTTCTTTACAACAAAACTGTTCAGTACAAAATAAAACCTGCAAAGGCAAAAAATAAAGACATTTAGCTAAGCCCATTGTAGTATATGCACTGCAAATGATTTTATTATTAATGTTTTTTTGCTGCAACTGTTAATAACGCAACTGTATTTCATATTTTAAAAACAAAAAGCGAATAAAGAGAAGTAGTTCAGTTTAGTTTAGATAGAGCTTTTAAATATACCATTAATGAATTAAAAACTACATATAAAGTTAATTCGGAGCGATTGACTTCGAACCGATAATATATTGTAATATAGTAGAATAATAGGTAATGAATATTAATTTGAAAGTGAATTAAAAACAAAAAATATTTAAAACTTTAGAAAGAACAAGCGCTTGTAGTTTATCTATTTTAGTTAAATATAACCAAAATACCGGTCTTGATCAAAATTTAATTCGTTTTTATTTTGGTTTGTGATGCCGGTTGAATGCTCAGAAATGTTGTCATCAGATAAAAGCATCGCCTAGTGTTGATATTTTTGGCAAAAATTTAGGGACAAAATCACAATCACAGAAAGATTGGCAATGA